TGTGGTACGATGATGGAAAGGACTAGGGGGAATCAAGTTGTGCAATTCCCCCGCACACTCACCGAAATGTATGTATTCTTAGAAGTTCAGGGAAGATTTAAACGGTGAGAACAATATTTTTAGGCGGTACAAAGTTTGCCGTCACCTAGTCCATAAATATTGTACTATAACACAATTCGATACTAAACGATATTCTTTTCCCATTTACTTTGCACTTACATTAACAACCAACTTCCCTCTTATTGTAACAATCAAGTCATTCAATATTCACGACATTGTCTCATGAAGGTAGACAGACACTAACTACAAAACATTTTTTTAAGGGGAGAAATTCATCCAATTACTTCTCCCGCCTGAGTGAGGCGGGAGGGAGTGTCAGACTCTTACTGACTAAAAACCACCCCGTTCCTACTCCTGCCCTTCGAGCCGGAGCCCCGGCAACCCGTTAAGTCCTCCGCGGCACTACAGAACACTACGCTACACTTTTATTTCGGTACTTTTTGTTATTTTTTTATGTTTTTCTACCTACCTAATTCTATGCCAACCTACAGCTAAAGAAAAAAGCATATATACGGCCGAATGGAAACACTAAAAATCCTACTTTCATATACACAAAATTACCTCATAAAAATAAAAATTCTCTATAACAATAAAATAGTGCACTCTTTTCATTCGTGCGGCTAATATGTCGTTATTTCAAATGTAATCTAAGCGATTGTGAGTTGAGATTGCAGGATTGGTAGTTTGCGTGTAAAGAACTGACCCGTACCTACGTACTAACGTCCCTACGTACTTTTATAAATATATATTTACGTGTGCTATACTCACGGCCATATAATTAATTCCCTTTTTTATTGTAATTCGTGATTCTCAAATCTTGGCCCTTATCGGTAATTTTGTGTGGAGTTTTTGACGCTTTTTATTGGTGTAGGTAATCGAAAATTTGAGTTTATTATGAGGGTTCAAAATTGGTTTACATTGTAATTATATTTTGACTACCCAAAAATGTATTACGCCTCCACAGGCGAGGAACTACTTACTCAATAGAGCTAAGCAAAACTTATGCGTGTTCTGCGCATAGAGTGCATTCATCCACTGATAACATATGTCCCACTATAACATATAATCGATTCACTTGTCATATACCGAGCATAATTAGGTACCTGTAACGCTATACTGTCTACAATCTTAAATAGGTACTTAAAATAAAAATAGATATTTACACGAACAGGCCGAATGATACCACGGCCTCAAAGAAAACCGACGTCAAGCAACGCTTGCGTTGTTTCGTCGTGTGAGTAATACCCCCCCAATCTCCTCAATCCCTGAATCTCTACTAATCCTCAGATTCCTAATCCCCAAATGCAAACGCACTTGTATCCACCATAGACGATGCCGATTGCTTACCATCAAGTGCTCTGTCTGCTCGTTTGCAGGCTTACATACATACATATATAACATCACGCCTTTTATCCCCGAAAGGGTAGGCAGAGTAGCACACAGAAGTAACACCCACATTTCACTATTTATGTTATGAGTCCCATGTAATAGGGGGTGAGCCTATTGCCATATACCGGGCACATTTCCAGACTCCGTGCTACCACTGAGATTTTTTTTGAAAAAACCCAGTAATACTTTGCCCGATCCGGGAATCGAAGCCGAGACCCCTTGCCCGGTAGTCGCACTTGCGAGGCAGTTTACCGGCTTATTCCATTGTACGGTCGAGTTACAGTTAAGTTAACATGGTTTAGATTGACTCGAACTTTGTAGTCATCAGTCAACAATCATTAGTTATATAACAAAGTTAGGTACCTACATAGTCGAACAACAGCTTTATAATCACCTAGCTAATTGCGTTTGACTTTGTAAAATTGCATGGCAGAACAGAATTGACTGCAATTAGTCACTCTTTAGTATACATAGTTGCATGCAGAGCCAGTGTTTGCATAGCAAATTATGTCAGTCACTATCTCTTATTGATCTTTTAGTGAGGTCGTACATTTTTTTTATGGAATAGGAGGCAAACGAGCAGGCCGTGACGTGATGGTAAGCGATCAGCGCCGCCCATGGACACCCGCAACACCAGAGGAGTCACAGGTGCGTTGCCGGTCTTTTAAAAAGGAGTATGCTCTTTTCTTGAGGTTTGAAAGTCGTATCGGTTAGGAAATACCGCCGACGACAGATCATTCCACAGTTTTTCTGAGCAAAGAGGCAGAAAGCTACGTGAGAAGCGCAGTTATAGCCTGCCAATCATCTATATGGTGGAGATGCATATGCTGTCGTGAGGGTAGATGGCGAAAAGATGCGGCAGGTATCAGGTCAAAAAATTCCTCAGAGCACTCCCTGTGGTATAAGCGATAGAAAATGCACAACGAAGTTTAGCATGGGTAAAATACGGCATTCGTTGCCTGACAAGGTAAGCAGATATGTTCATATTGTAGATTACCTATATAATTAACATTTATCGATAATTATGTAAGTATGTTAGTGTCATTTATTGGGTGTTATTCACCCAGCATACTTTTGAAGTTCTCTGCAATGATAAATCATTTCGATTATATCGATATTTTGCTGGAACTGGGAATGGAATGATGAAGTCAACAGTCCGCCACTAAAAGTCACGTTTGTTACACCGTCTAAACAGTCTTTTTAATATATTTTTTTTTTCTATTTGATGGGCAGACGTTTGACCACTATCTCGCCTGGTGGTAAGCGATGATGCGGTCTACGATGGAGCACGTCGTCTCATAAGCTACCTATTCACTCGGGCCTTGAAGACTCCCAGGTTATACCCTTGAGGAAATATAGACTCTGGCAAAGAATTACACTCTTCAGCAGTACGCACAAGGAAGCTTGAATATTAATAATTTTAAGGTATGTTCTAGGTATTTTTGGAAATCAAACAGACAGATTAATTTATAATTTTTATTTTCATTTGTATGAATTGTATTGGCATTTTTACAAAATATAATGACCCCTTTATTTTAATGGAAGAATTAAAACAAGGCTTATATTAATTTGGCAAATCCAAATTCACCTCAGTAACAATTACACTATGTATAAAAACTCCAAGTAAATAATTATAATAAAAATATACATTTTTTACAAAAATGTAACATTACGTAAAATACAGCTAGGAGACTATTGTATTCTTGTTATATAACAATACTTAACAGCGACTAATATTGCTAAATAATTAATTAGAAAATAATTATAAAGTCAAAATTCAGATATGCAAATTCTTTTAATAAAACGTATCTTTTTATTCAGATTATTTACAAAGATTTATTCAACTAAAATAATAATAGTATTAAATTATGATATGTACAAAATGTACAAGTGCTTAATTTATTTATTGTCAACAAAAATAAATGAACTCATTTAAAAAACCAAACGATTTTTTGTTGTATTTTATTTAAAAGTTTGTCCAAAAAATGTAATTTTATTAAAATCATTCATTTATTTTTGTTCACAAAATCCTATATAAAATTTCTTTCATTATAATCGTTAGGGGGGTAACCTTTGCTGATGAATTTGGCTAACAAATGCATAGAAAGGTATTTTTGGGGTGATTCCCAAAAAATAACGTTTATAATGAAAGATGGTCTAGTCTAAACATAAGAATGATAATGAGTGAGACAAAAAATGTTCAGTACAAACTCAGATCTGTTAACACACATGAAATAAAATATTTTATTGATGGTACGTTGTATATTGCACGTTTGTAACGTCACTGTGCCCGGGTACATAATGAAACCTAGATAATTATACAATTATAATTATTCATAATTGTGTAGGCACGTCAATACAACTTCTTAAATAATTATGATGAATATTTTGTGAACACATTATTTATTGTTGGTTTAACAATTATGTTTGTAATTTCAAATAATTTCTAGGTCGGAGTTTGAAGTATAGTGTAGGGCAAGTACTCCACGTAATATAAGCCTTATGTACAAAGCTATCTTTTTGGCTTTTCATGTCCTATTTATTCGGTGGAGAGAACCCTAACCAGAATATAACTTTTGCAAAAATTAAAATGAAATATCTTAATAGTTGGTGTTCATTCAATGGAACAATGAAAAGAAATTGAGAACAATTTTAATTTTATTGCAAAAATTATTTTGAGTTTTTACTTTATTCATTTTTATTTTATCTACAGATGAACTTAGTCGGTGGGTCAGCAATTTTACGTATTTTTATTTACAGAGTGACCGTAAACCCACATTATGTTCTAATTACAATAAAAAAATATGTTTGGCATACATTTTGTGACTCATCATACAACTACTTTGTACCTATTACCCCTCTGGCATGCCGATATGGCACATTCGCAGGCTTTTATAATTCAGGCACCAACAATCAAAAGGCACAATTTAACCACTGAACAGCAACTTACAACTTGTCTACACATTATAATATCAGTATGAATGTAATTATTATATTTACTAAATACATATTATATCTATATATGGACGGGATTGTATCAAATCGTACCTATTTTCAGGAGTTTCTAACATTCAAAATTTTGTTCTTTATTTTGTACATAAAATACAATACATAAGCGGTATAAAAATGTTTAAGATTCAATATTGTAATCTTAATTTTATGGCACTCTATTTGCACACATACGTACACGTATTAGAGTCCGGATATATATAATATAACCAATAACACATATATATAAGTTCTTGCTCAGTCTTCGATCCAGAAAATCTCAATAGGCAATAAGATCACAGTAATATTTAAATATTGTATATTTGCAATTTTTTATGGTGCCATATTTTGCCATAGGCCATACTAGAGCTGTTTGCAACGGCTGGTATAAAGCTGCGCAGGAGTTGCGTAGCGGCGTCCACTTAAAAACTAACTATCGAAACAGTTTACATCAAAATCACGAACAAATACGGCATAACCTTAAAACATTTTTACCAACTTTTGAATTGGACCCACCGCAACTCCTGTGCAACTCTAACCAACCGCAGTAACGGCCCGTCCTTTCAAACCTGTACCCCGAGCACTCTGTCCACAACAAACTCATACCTCACCTCATCAGTCTTTGTGTCGTCCTTTGCCTCTTGACCCTCGAGGTTCAAGCACGGGTTCTTGCACTCCACGACCTCCGGCGGGTCTTGTGTAGCTGGCTGGTCACGTCGGAGCTCGTAAGATGTCTTAGAAGACCTACCGTCAGGAGTTCGCCGTTCTTCTAAATCTTCTTCCCAGTCGTCTTCTGATGGAATCTCGTCACCATCCTCGCCAGGTAGGAGGGGGATTGTTGTTTTGGTGCGAGTGAAGAATGCCATCTTTTCTCTGTGGAGAGAAGGTTAAGTTTGGTTATTGTGGATCCATGATTGTAGCTAATAATATAGTAATTCAACTACATGAGTGTAATTGGCAGATAAATTAAACGTATCATCCATATAAAATGTCTGAGTTAATCAGCAGTGGTGCAATAAGCCATAAGTACATTTCCAAAAATCGGGTTACGTTTTGAAATGTAAGATTAGCAACTTACAAAATTTGTTACTGAAACTGGAATGAAAGCTTTTCTCTAATTCAGACCAGAAATGTATCTTGGAGTTAATATTATTATCAAAAGTTATACGATATAAAATCTTCTAACAAATTCCATAATTTTTGTCATCTATTTAAATGACCAATACTCACTTGAAGGTGACAAGGTCAGGTTTCCGTCCGCCCTGCCTAGACTTCCTCAGACGGTAGATCTCCCGACATGTCCTACTGAGTAGCCGTGATGCTCTGTCTGCAGGTTGGTCTCCCGGACTGACCAGGCGACGTAAGGTCTCGTCCTCGGCTACCCAGGCCGCCACGGCCGGGTCACCGCGGTTCCAAGCTTCTTCTAACCTGGAGTGAAAAGTTGTTGTTAATAATCGCTGTTTGTGGCTTTTTAAGTAAAGAATATATTATGTAAGAGAAAACTATTAGGAGTAAAACTGAGCAACCGTAAGAGAAACGAGTGGATTTGAACGATGCCTATGCTGTCTATAGGTATTTTTTTAAGGGGGGAAATCATCGAATGACTGCTCCCGGCTGGGTGAGGCGGAAGGGAGCGTCAGACTCTTACTGACTAAAAACCACCCCGTTCCTTTTCCTGCACGTCGAGCCGGAGCCCCGGTTACCCGTTAGGTTCTCCGCGACTGTCTATAGGTATAGGGAAAGCTAGCTATAGTGCAAGAGCTAGCTACAGTTGTCATCATCATCAGAACTTCTTCTTCGTCTTCTTACATGGTGGAGTTGGAGAAAATTTTATATATGGCAAGAATATAAGAAGTAAAGTGTTCGTACCTCTTTTTGAGCGCAGTAAGGTTGGCAATATCAGTGCGCAGATGGTGCAGCCGCGAGTGCTGCGCGCGGAGGTCCAGCGCCAGGTCTAAGGAAGTGCGCGCCGCGCCCGCGGACACGCGCGCCCCGCGCCCGCCGCGCACGCCGCGCGGACACGAACCTGATCTACCCCATCTGGATATAACACAAAAATAACCTGTTAAACTCATGTAAAATTCCACTAAATTCTGCGAGCATGCTAGTGGAAAAAATACTTTTTTCTTTCAAAATAATTTAGGAAACAGTTATGCACAGCTGAAGTAATCTAGACATGAACTGTCATGTTCATTTAATTTCTTGAATTTTTCAATAACACTTTGCGCAAGCAAAGATAACCTGAGACAAGAACCGATATACTTTTATGTGACTGTTTTGGACTAGACGTGAACTTTGCGTTTACTGACGGAAAATATCTTTGTAATAATATTACATACGTATAAAATTATGTTTACTTATGTGACTGCCTCGTTGGCCGAGTGGTCGCAAGTGCGACTGCCGGGCAAGGGGTTTTGGGTTCGATTCCCGGGTCGGCAAAGTATGGGTTTTAAAAAAATTCTCAGTAGTAGCACGGAGTCTGGAATTGTACCCGGTATATGGCAATAGGCTCACCCCCCTATTACGTGGGACTCATAACATAAATAGTGAAAAGTGGGTGTTACTTCTATGTGCACCTCTGCCTACCCCTTCGGGGATAAAAAGCGTGATGTTATGTGTAAAATTATGTTTACCTGAGCGATCGTCTCTCCCTAACACTCCTGTCGAAGGGTATCCCGGCGGGGGGCGGCGCGTGACTCGTCGCACGGCGCGCGTACGCGGCCATCGACGAATCAGACTCCGAGCGGTTCAGTCTGAGGATAAAGAACAATTTTTAGTGATTTCTAAATATAATTTATGAATCTGTCTGTGATGTCACATTATACATTGAAATGAAGGATAATAAATTATGAAACAACATCAAAAGGTAATTTAGGATCTGTATTTTACTAAAATCTTAACAGAGTACCAAGCACGAATAACTATCGCAATTGTAACGTAATAGTATCGATTGCGTTCGGCGCTCTGATTGGCCGGCTCCAGTAAACCAACCAATCAGAGCTCCGACCGCGCTCGATACTATTACGTTACTATTGCGATAGTTATTCGTGCTTGGTACTCTGTAGGTAGACATAAAAACTACCAAATGTCAAGAAATATCTAAAAATGGGCAAATATTTCACAAAAACATAAGAGTTAATTTAATTTTATTTATCGACATATACTAGTTAATAGATAACTATTTCAAGGAAAGAAGAAAATTACATATTTTATTCAGAAAATATTTCACTAGAAATCAAGACAAGTTCACAAGAAACAGTTAATAAAATTTAAGAACTGACCTGCAGATGTACTGTGCTTTGGCGACACTCTGTGGTTGTGGCGAGAACGTTTGTGACCTCTTGATGGTGGCGAGGGGCTCGGCGAGGCTGGCGTTTACTTGCTGGCTTTTCCTACAAGAAAATAACAAATATTTGTAGAAAATATTTCGCTTTAAATGTGTATTATTGCGTGCAGAGCATTGTTTTATTCAAGAGTAACTTATAAACATTAAATGCTAAGGTATTTTGAACCTTATATTATTGTACAGACGCCATCACATCAAATTATCGATTATAAACTTAATCCGTCTGTTATAAGGTCGAAATTCTATTAAAGGAAGCTTAATTTGCATTTCTTGGCTATATTTTAAGCTTTTAATTTCTTAATGTTAAGCTGTTTTGAACTTTATTCAAATATGCTGTAATTCTATTTTACTTAAATAAAACAATGCTCATTAAAACATAAAAGATACATCCACATTGTGCCACATATCATGCTTTTCCATGCACATAACATTGTGTGTGTGTCTCTGTGTGTGTGTTTAAAACAACCAAATAAACATGCTAGGGTGATATACCCAATATACATAAATAAATAAATACATATTCCACACAAAAAATTTAAAATAAACACACATAAAAATAATTATAATGAGTTATAAATAATTATTTCAAGCAACTGATCATAATTGAACTCACAATAATTATGTTTAGAACTTAAATTAATTGAGTACATCACCCATTCTCTTGTTGTGTATAAAACATCCCAAAACTGTGTTGTTGATCTAATATTGGTTTACGGTAACTTATAGTTACATTTTTGAGTTAAACCGACTAGTTTATATTGGAAACTATATTTTCTATAACTATAATAACACTCACTTTTAGTTATGTTATTCCATATAATTGGCGAGTATAATGCCTTTTCTTTAAATATAATATTAACAAACATAGCTATATAAATACAATCATCTCACTACAGGGCAACAGCCTCCCGTTTTTTTTTTTTTAAGGCGGGAAAATCATCGAATGACTGCTCCCGCCTGAGTGAGGCGGAAGGGAGTGTCAGACTCTTACTGACTAAAAACCACCCCGTTCCTTCTGCCGCACGTCGAGCCGGAGCCCCGGTTACCCGTTAGGCCCCATCTGTGGTGGTCTGATGCCTCCCCTATGTTATAGTTAAGGTGCTCCTACACAGAAGTTTTATAACGTTAGAGAGTGACTTAACATTTGTTTTTAAACAAATTACAACAAATTTGTAGTAGTACCTAACTTGACATGTTGTAGAGTATGTTACAAAATGTTATCATGTTACATAATGATCACATTAGGTTCTTCCACATAGCAGTAGTATATATCAATATACAACTGCTGTGTGGGAAACCTTTAATCATTAAACTACAACAGGATAACAAACAAAAACTTTATCTTATACTATTATATGTATAAAGCGAAAGAGTTTGTTTTTTTGTTTGTTTGAACGCGCTAATCTCCGTAACTACAAGTCTGATTTGTATAATTTTTTTGTGTTGGATAGCGCATTTATCGAGGATAGCTATAGGCTATAAAACATCACGCTACGACCAATAGGAGCTGAGCAGAGCGTGTAAAACCGCGCGGAAGTAGCTAGTTCAAATCTAATTTTAAAGAATCTTAAACTTTCAAATTTTCTACTACTACAAAATAATTCAATCTTTTGTGCTATCATCTCCGTTTAACCTTAAAACTAATCGGTATAACTCGAAATTTACCGCGCAAACCAATATCAAACTCGTGTTTCAAGACAAAACACATAGGAAAGGCGACACAATGTAAACATACCTATATATACAATTATGTACAAGTGTGTGTTTATGTTAATGCTCTAGCGGCGCGAGCTGGGGCCGGCCGTCCGCCGCGCGACGCTTCAATATATATCTGAGAGGAAAACGGAATCATGTAGCCCGACACCGACGTTAGTAAGCTTTGGGGACTATGTACAATGTTACTTAGATAAAATAGGATTTAGAGATGTACTTTGTCTTTGACATAACAATGTAACATTGAACACAATGTAATAATTGCAAATTTACAGCAATATTTTAGACAGTTATTTTACAAAAATAACTTATTGCATTGTTTAGAGAAGAAACTGTGAACTATTGGGCAAAATGCAAACTTTAGTACATATTTTGAAATTAAAAACCCAACTACACTTTGTCTGATCAAAAGATAAAATCCAAACTGGAATAGTTATTTTATAAAAATCTACCACCAATATAGTTAATTATCCTTTCACCTCTACCTAACAGCATACATTATTATTTACGAACACAGTTTTACTAAAACAACAATTTCGTTCACACCCGACAGTGTTCAAGCTCGAAAACTTTCAAGCTGACCCGAAAGATTTCGAGTAGTCAAAATTAAAATATCGAAATTATTATTTGAGTAATACTGCATAAAACAGTCCTGATTAAAGGCCAAATGGACAAGTAGATATTAATTAATTTTGTATAGTTTTGCTACATACCTCCTATGCAACTGCCTAGCTCCCTCGGGACAGAAGTTACACTCGGTGTTGGTTTCCTTCTCCGCCGTGGTGGGGTGAAGGTACTCCTCCTCTAAAGCAAGCTCCTCCTCAGGAATGTAATCCTCGAATGAATCCTCTTCCACTATCTGTAAGAACATATTTGGTCCGTAAAATAAATATTAAGATTATTCGGTACAAACTAATATAACTATTAATTTGTCTGTTGCCATTATAATAGATATGATTGCGAGGTCGACGTTAGCTTTTCAAAATCGAAGAATTCAACAATATATTTGAGTAGCCTCGTTAGCTGAGTGGTTGCAAGTGCGACTGCCGGGCAAAAAGGGTCTCGGATTCGATTCCCGGGTCGGGTAAAGTATTACTGAGTTTCAAAAAAATTCTCAGTAGTAGCACGGAGTCTGGAATTGTGCCCAACATATGGCAGTAAGCTATTACATGAGACTCATAACATAAATAGTGTTAATTGGGTGTTACATTGGAGTGACATTAAATGTGCACCTCTGCGTAGCCTTCGGGACAAAAGGCGTGACGTTATGGTAAGTGTTATTCAATCAGCAATTAACAGTCTCACCAATTAAAAACAACATAATTCAAAAAATGGGGATAAATAGTTTGTAGGGAGAAGATTTCACTTAGCTTGACGTATTGTTATCGATAGATACCTGATTAAGTGGTTCTCTAGACTCTTCGTCCTCCGATGCTGAATTGTCCCCGCAGTCAACGTTACATTCTGCACCCGTCATACTTTCTGGTCCTGTAACACAAACCATATCTTATTAATTTCTGTTTTAATTACTCACATTGCATTTCTATATGAAACTCAAGTAAATACTATCTTAGACTTCAATCAGAAGGATCCCATCCCTTTCCGGAGTTCAAATTGTTTCGTACAACTAAACAAAAACAATTAAGTCAAGCAAGAATAATTCTTCTCCATAAGATCACTATTACTATAGAACTAGCAAAAATATCAGTAAAGGACATTGGCTTACAAATATTTTTTATAAGCTTTTCTAGCGTCTAACTGAGAAAAATACATTTAACCTTTTACATTCGAATATTATATTAATTTCAACACTCAATCCTTACCTCTATTCCTCGTCAAGGTGGATGTCTGCGATGAGATGACAGTGGACTCATCCGAGCTCTCATCCCGTCTCATACACCTGAAGCTGAGCACGTTGTACCATTTCTGTGACACCGTGTCTGGCTCGAAGTCTGCTAGACTCACTTGTGCACAGCCCTGTAGGGTAAAGGGTAAGGTTAGCGTACGCAGGGTAAGGGTAACATTATGTTATAGGGTAAAATGAACTCAGAAGTTAATCGCTCTCGCCCAGTGGGGTATTCACATGGCACTCAAGACTGAAAAGCCGAATACTCGAATTTGGCTAGTTTTCATCATTTGTTTTTTTCATTTAGAAAACAAGATTATAATTAGGGACTAATGAATGTTAATACAGTTCATTAATAAATGTAATAAAAACATGTGCGGCCACTGGAGTGGACTTAAAACAACATCGAATATAGAGAATGCCAAAATACTAAATGGATTGGTATAGGTAATGCACGTTTAGAAAATATGTTGATCAAAAAAATGTATTTACTAAATTATATCAGAATTATAACAGATATTCCATATATCAAATCAAATGTAAGAGCAAAACAGATTGTGATGGAAAAATTAGAAGTAATGATTAAGTAGGGTAATTTGAATTCAAGGGGTAAATAGATATGAGAACAATTTCCCAACATCTATCTATGTCTTTTGTATTTATTCACCCAATTTTAAATATACTATTAGACAGACGTCCAAACATTGAAATACTATTCTATTAATATGCTGTTGAATTTAAAGGTATATTTTAGTATTGTTATATCGTACATGAGAGATCGTGGCGTTTGAGTATTTAATCAAATCGGCTTTGTAACTGAAACCTTGATTTCGTACTCGTAAGCTGTTCTCGATTTCGTACTCGTAATCCCGTTTTTCTCGTTGCTGTTCGTGATTTTCCGTAAAAAGTAAAAAAAGTCCGTCTCCTGGTTTTAAGCTACCTCCCGACAGTTTTTGAGTTATTAAATAATGTAGGTAGCTAACACGATTTTTTTTTAATTTGTAGATCTGCAATCAGTCGCCAGATTATAATCAGATGTGGTGAAGTGGGATGTGGCTTTTGAGCACAACAGGCCAACGCTTAGCTAACACGATTAGATGACTCACCAGACACTCCGCGCCGGCGGTGAGGTTGACCTGCAGCGTGGCGGCCCGCAGCGCGCGCGCGGCCCGCAGCGCCACGCAGTGCGTGTGTCGCAGCGCCAGCGCCGCGCCGCGCCACGCCGCGCCGCCGCCGCTCCACGCGGACCCGCAGCCCCCGCCCACCACCAGCGCGCACCGGACGCCGCTGGAGACAATATCAATATTTTATACAACAAGTTTAAACAAACACTTTTCTGAAAACCACATCAAAATCGGTTCTGCCAATCACAAGATAATCACGCACAAACATACAAATACATAATAACTTAAATTGAAAACCTCCCTTTTCCCCTCCTTTTGAAGTCGTAATCTTTATTATTATTCTTCTAGTCTATTCATTTCCATTTATTCGTTCATATTATCCAATTCATCTCTCTATTAATCATTGTGTTCTAAAGATACAAATGTTGACACAAATTGAATTAGAGATTGTATATTGTGATTGACAAAGGTAGTCAACTTCAAACCAAATTAGCAAATAATTTACGGAATATTGATTTGTTGTATAATTCATATCTAGAACCTATGTTACAAATAAGCAAATCCACTTTATTCTTGTAATCTTACATGAACAAAATTATTATTACTATTCAAAGTAATAAAAAGATAGTGTACTCACACTTGAGTGCCGATGTCAATGTACAACGCGTGCAAATTGCGCGCGCGCAGGATTCCAATCTCCAGCGTACCATTATCCGCACAGTAGCGTAGTTTAATCTCTATTTGAGCGCTGTTCACTGTAAATAATATAAACAATTTATTTAAAAACGATACAAAAATGACTTTAATTATTTGCTTAACAAATTAAAATAATTTTCCTTAGTCCCCCCCTATTTCCAAACCCCCAAAAAGTGGCAATTTTGGGAGCGCCGATTGCTTACCATCAAATGATATCCTGCTAAAACATTTATGCTGTAATCAATAGAAACTGAACCCAACGCCACGTATAATAAGGTAGGTAATAAAATGTTACCTGCGTTAGAAGGATCGTTCGCGGCCTGCGCAGCCTCAAAGACCCCAGAGTCGCCCGCCACTGATTCGTCGCTCACTGCCGCTGATACTGATCTAGTGTTTGTACCTGGAAATAAAATTTGATATATTGTTAAAATATTGCTAAAGTTGTATTATTGCAGTGATAATATCCATGGTGGAGTAATGACAGAGTAGAGTACATGCATCACCAACACAAATTGTCCCATCCAAAGGTAGTAAAAGCCAACTAAGGGACTATATTTGACAGAGACCAGGCCCCAACATCTTCAGCTACTAAGAAAAGCCCTCTTCTCATACGAAGGAGCAAGTTTAGCGGCTCTCTGATAAACTTTTTAAACTGCAATCTGTGATACATCCCCCCAAGTGTGGAAATTAGTGCAATTTCTTATATAGACGAGGCTTTTTATTCTGCAGTGGACTTAGACAAGACCAAAGCTTATAGCCCAGTAGTAAACTATCAGGGACTAATGATGATGACGATGATAAAACATTATAATACTAACCACTAGACGAGGGAGTTCTGGGCGATGGTGGCGGAGGTGTCTCTGATATGGGGGAGAGTGGCTCGCACGGCCGCCCTGGACCTTGCAGCTGTACTGGAACTGAACATTAAGAACTATTAAATACATGCTATAGAGTATTATTGTACATATAAATAGGATAATATACTTAACGAGTTTACGGCAGAATTAGTTTCATTGCATATTTCAATAAAAAAGCAATCAAAAATTCATTCAATTCATAAAAAATTAAGCAAAAAGAAAAGAAAGGAAAGAAAATAATAAAAAAAATGTAATGTTACTTACTTGTAGCAAGGCCTGTAACCTCATTTAGTCCAGTGGCGACACCTATCCTCATTTCTGCTAACTTTTCTTCTAGTTCTCGCTGTTGCCGCCTTTGTCTTTCCACCTATAAATATAAGAAAAAACATTATAATAAATTTTTTCATCGAGATACTTAAAACCTTAGTCACTTTGTAATCAAATGGCGCCACTGTCGTTTTTGGTCCACTTACAACACAAGGAGCAATGTTTGTTTAGACACCTACGATTATAATACTCCAAGCCTTTTATGAAAACTAACACATCGTCAAGTTATAGGTATAAATAAACATACATATACATGTATGACAGATTACATAATAAACATGAATCAGCTGACTGACTTTCATGACAATAAAATAAACACGAACATTATCTATGAAGTGAAAGCAAGAGACGGGCAGGCCCGGGGCGTATAATATGATTTAGCACTTGATAATATTATGAATAGTATTTTTTGTGTATTAAAACAAATATTGAAACTGTATTTGTATTGTTGTTGAATACAAATTGTGTTTTGATGTGTTGATTGATGTGTAATTTATGGGGTTAAGTTAGTAATAATTAGGTATGTTCGAGAAGTATACAACTTAGCATTAATGCTGCTATGAATCACCTTAAATTAAATACAGTTACGTTTCAAGTTTCAGTCAGATCAGATAAAGAATTAAGAAGTCTGATTAGCGACTTACAAATAAACATATATTATAATATGACAAATTTTAGTGTCGACAGCCTCATATCATAATAGGGATGATGACAGGGTATGTAAATTAAAAATCTAATTAGTCCGTAACTTACAAATTGAAAAAATATTAGACACGTATTTTTTTATTTTGTCGTATAATAAAATAATACTTAGATAAAACGAATCAAAGTTTAGGAGTGGGGGCTAAAACGTCATTTCTACGTAAATGGACATAGAGGTGACGTCACGCGACATTTCAAATCAATATATCGTTGAAAGTATTCGTTTCTGTAAGAAAATAAAAAATGATTTGAAATAATCTACCAGACGGACATTAAAATAAAAACCTACCTTATTATACCAGCCTGTAATTGTCTAACTATTGGACAAACTATTGGAGAATATTTGGACCAAGACCTACTAAGCTTGATTATGGCGGATTAGTAGTATAATCGATTACAATAAAACATCTTATTATTCGTCGACTGATGTGAATAATGTTTACCACATTACCTAAAGCCTGAATGTTAATATATCATGAAACATTTTTCAATGATTTCAATAAATACGTTCAACGTCACAGATTCATATAACATACGCAGACGCAGAAACCGTCACCACACATCGGTCACAGTGCAGTGAAGTAATTGTAAAAATACTACAGCAACCGATAAGTGTGTACAATTGTGTGTAATGTAATCACACACGCTTTCCTATAAGGTTAGAGTAGAGAAAAAGGTTGTTTAGATGAAAATAATCAATTTGTGACGTCTGAATTGATGTTAAAATGCTAAACTTTTGATATACGTAATACGTTTTGTATTCACCGAAGGAATAGATAGCAAATTAGGTATATTATACGACTCACATAAGAGAATTAATCTAAGAGAAAGAACTATCACACTAAACACCAAATAACTTAATGGTAGCCATATAATTATAATATTTTATTTAATTAGGTTCATTTTAAATGATACTAGGAGTGATAAAGTTAAAATATAATCACCTGATTGTACGAGGGTGGAGGTGGTGGCGGACTGGCTGAAGACAAACTACTTCTCGGTGATAAGGATGGCTGAGATGGTGAACTGCTGGCTCCAGGAGTCGCACTGTCTGCGTTATAACTTGTACCACGCAGTAACCTGATGGAAAGTAAGATAACAACCGGTTAAAAGGATCCATCAAATAAAAAAAAAAGTGAATGAGAAAAAAGTAGACTCTAACATATGTAGAAGTCAAGAATAGAACCTAAAAATCTAATGTTCAATTAACTAAAAAACATTCCCAGTAAAAAATAAATAAGGTTATACAGATAGAGGACAATCAACTTTGAATACATAAAAACAGTACATAGAATTCTCAACGAGTCAAAATAAGATCTTGTCATGATAATTCAAGTTCACGAACTGTGAACCTTTGATCTTTTATAAGCAACAAGTGTTTGCACAAACAATAGTCGTATGTTGAAACTTGTACCACCATCAGGTCAAGCGAAGAAACGCAACGTAATCGTTCGATAATCCTAGAGAAAGTTCTGACATTGCACTCCATCCTTTTTAAGGTTGAGCTTGCAAATATTTGGACTGAGAAAGCAAAATCGATTCAAGAAAGTTAACCATATCCACGATCAAATTTATATCATAATCCTACTTCACAAAGGTCCTAAATCGAAAAATTAGCATAAACCTATCCGAACGATGCATAAATTTACTTGATGTATCTCTAAACGTGTTCATAATAATTTACGTTGACGTTTGAATGGGGAAAAGTATTTTGCACTCACCTTTCAACTCTTCGATGCAAATCGACCATGTCGATAGGCTTGTCTGTTGAAAAAGACGTTGCGATTTGCGGACCGCCATAAATATCAGTAAAACTAATGCCGGAGCTTAGTGAGCCTTTACTACTGGCTGTGGAAAGGGACCCTAAGCTCGAACTGCTTGACACCGAGAGCGTACTCGCCGATAACGTCTTCAACTGCCCTTCTAAGGTCGTCATCGACGTCAACGCGTCTTTCAACTGTTGCAGCAACAGTTGCTTCTCTTCATGTAGCCTCAGTCTATCCGCTATACACTTGTTGGACATTTCAAAGGCATTCTTCAGGTCTTGTTCTAATCTCTTGCATTCAGTTTGGATTTCAGTCATCTCTTGTTTAGATCTCGTTCTAGGCGTAATACTCCGTAATTCCCTAAGCAACTGTTCCTTCTCTTGGAAGAGTAGCAGTCTATCCTTATCGGATTCTGCCTGGCCGGGCTGAACTTTGTCTTCTAAGTCAGCTAATTGTTGTTGAATTTGTTGTATTCTCTTCCGCGCTGCGTCGTATTGTAACCGAACCCGCGCCATTTCAGCTAATCTCGTGCCAATGGGAACTAAGTCGGCGCAGAGATCGGTTTGGGAAGCAGTGCTTAGTTTCTCCTGGGGAAGTGAGAGGGTTGATAGATCAGGTGACGCGTCTCCAAGTTGCAGTCTCGTCAAATCATCCTTGAGTTTGGCTAACGACTGCATTAGGTCTGCCCTCTCTTTCTCCCCAGAGGTGAGCGACTTCTGAATATTTTTCAATTCAGTCATGATCGCTTGGGCTTCAGTAATGTTGTAGCAGCCCTGTTGAGCGCTAATTTTTTGCTCCACTCTGAAATAGGAAATCTCAAATTAGCGACCGAACATAGATGATTCAGATTTTTAGTGTTATAATCATATCTTAGTAAACTCCACACGAACACTCAAAGGATGCCATTCAAAGCAAACACGCTCACTTTCTTATACTTACAATTATTGTGATCCATTGTGTCCTAGATTCTCACAATCATGCAACTTAAGTCTCACCTTTTGCTGCCTCTAGACGTTTCAGCTGACTTCTCCATCTAAGACTAAGAACATTCCAGCATAAGCATACTAACTCTGCAAGCGTGTCAACTCCGCGACGTGCGCTGGCGACTTCAGCTCGGGCTTGCCTTAGCTCCTTGCGTAGCTGGGCGACCCGGCCGCGCGCTTGCGTCACTTCCGACCTCAGAAGCTCCGGGTCATGTCGGGAGGTGGTGGACGTCGTAGTCATCGACGTCGTTGATGAACACACTGCGATAGAAAATGCTATCTTAAGTACGTACAAATAGAACCAATTTATTCACGCTGGCATTTACCAAGCACCATCAATAAAGTTCAAAAATAAACCAAGAAGCAAAAGAAAAGGACTAAAACGACGCTCGGGCAACACACAGGTGTTCCAATTAACTACATAGTAGAATCTACAAGAGCTGTAGTGTGTGGCCACCATTTGGACATACGTTTTTAATTTACAGAAATAAACAAACATTGGCAACTAAGTATTGAGCGTCAAGAAACCAACATAAATAAATTGTCGCGATCAAAGCTGGATAAAATGAAACGTAGGAATAAAATAATAACGTCGTCGAGTTGGACTATAATAAAATACGAAATTACATTCAATAAACGGACACGGTGTATAAACATTAAGGGGCGAGTTTTTTTGCGATGAAATGTGGACACTATCTATGGAATCAGATAAAAATAAAGCTTGATACACTCTACTCCATAAGCTTCATCGACAAATAAAATTGGAACTCGTACGTATGCTTCGGGGACGACACATTTGACAGAAATATTGAAATTGCTTACAGAAAAAATATAAGAATACTGGTCCAATAACCAGTTTAATTATCTTCGAGAAGGCCCGCACATTTTTAACGCTAGTAAACAAACACAAAGCAGCCCTTAGTCCCCCATTATAATTAACATTCCACATTAATTTTATTGTGATTGGGGCTCAGAATAAAGCTATTTCATAAGTTGAAGAAAATTGTTTTTTATCACAGAGCGGACCTCTAATAGTTTTAAAGAATTTCAATGGAGATGGGATGGTAGAAGAAATAAAATTTTCAATTTAGTACATCTTGAGTGTATGCAAATGTAGATATGAAGTAGTGTTGTATTGATTACAATTTACCATCAGTGCAGAATACGAGTGACGACGCTAATCTACTTATGGCTCGATATTGAATTGAAGGCTCCAACGAAGATGCTACGATTAACTTTTTTAATTCCCTATACGCTTCGGTTGTTTTATTTTGGAAGCATTCTGGATACGATCGATGAAGTAGGCTGTAACATTTTATTTTATGATCCAGTTGGGTATGTCGTTATGATAACAGTGTATTCATATTTTTTCTGTATTAGACGTTACTATTAATAAAAATACGCGAGCACATCTTAATGAAATATGGCATCCACAATAATAGCCAAAGCTTTTGTTAGAGACGCGCTTTACTAATATGATCGGTTTTCGAACCATTTAGATATGCCAGGACAATGTGTTTAAGAAATAATATTATACTTACGACTAGTTCTAGAGGCTGCTAGGGTGGAGAGCGCATTGTTCAAATGCTTGTACTCATCCTGGGCTAAACACAACCTCTGCTTCTTTACATCGTACATCTCCTTCTTCGCCTGTAGACAAAAAGAGAAGGATTTAGATTAATACTACAAAAAAAGTAAAAGAAATTTGAGCTTATGATAAAACTCTATTTGATAGAAAAGAGTAAAGAAAGAAGTCGCATAATATAGATCGTACGTAACTCGATATAAGAAGTGAATGACAAAAAGGTAAAGACGTTTGGTAAAACGTATAGTTGAGTAAAATTCCTAAAATTCTTGAGGATTTTTTAACAATGGTGTGATGCAGGTAGCTCGGTTAAAAGGACAAAAATGGTTTACAGTTTACATTTATACTAGACTAATAGATTTGTCAGTAACTGCTAACAAAAATTACCAAACGAATTGAAATTGTTTTCGTAAATTCATCGAATTCGTTAAACAATACTATTCATACAATCCTGAAGAATATAGCAGGCACAATATGCTCATGGGACCTCTAGATAATTTCATGTCTATAGCTATTTTTCGACCTTAACATTACCATATTATAATTGGAAACATTGTCATATGATAATATTTATAATGAGGATGATAATTTTAAAGTTGAAATTCCTGTAGCCTTATTACATTTTCTTTCTTTTTAGTTCTGTGGTGAGAGACTGCATTTTTTCATAGGAAGGAGTTTACTCTTTTTATTTGCTTATTAAGAGATTGAAGTGACTAAGGCAAGATTAATAGCTAGGTTTATCACACACAACTATAAATATTTTGCATAGCTTTTTTCTAAAAACGTATTTTCTTATTAACACCTAATATTCTTCCTGCTACATAGCAAGTTTCATTCAATGACGCCTGAGTCAAAAAACAACAGCACACACTTTTGAGTTTTCATGAATGATTTAATTCGAACAAGTATACTACACTAGAGAAAAGACAACTATTGAACCGAGGATGCATAAATATACTGCAGAATCCAAGTAATGATATCGTAAACTGAATAAATATAACGACTTCTAATAGAGGGGAATAATTTTTGTACTTCTTAAATCAATTTCCAAGCGTAATCAAGTGTCTTAACCATTTAATTTCTTTTAAAGATAAAATCAGAGCTCATTGGAGCTCATTTGTTTTTAAAAAGGTACGCGATTATGTTGATGAGTTCCTCAGAGCTCAAGTTTTTGTTGGCAATATAAAAATTTTGATTGAATTACGAGACAAAGGTGTATAATAAAAACTTAATTATATCGCTACTGGTTGGAACTACTCGATGATGTTCCCCGTCAGGTTTTATGACTATTAACTGTTTGATTGACTGTGAAAAATTATCTTATTTCGTTTATGGTTAAACGTAGTCATGAACATAACTAAAGGTGTTACTTGATTCCGCCAGTCATCGTTCAACAGCTCTTTCAATATTTAACAAAACCGTAAACTATAGTGTTACCAACTAAAACAAACTTTACTATAGCAAAAAAGTCCTACACGACCAACATTAGCCATACACGTTTGTTTAAGACATGTGCTAGAACACGAGCATCATAAAATAATAATGAAACCCAATAATTAACTAAGAATTCTCAAAGATAAAGTTATAATATCTCGCAAGTCCATACGAAATTCATCAAGTCACATACAAAATTAACGAGTCATTAGATCAGAATACCGAAACAGGCATTTTTTGCTCCCAACGTTAAATACGGTATTATGAGTTGGGCACTGACTTTTTTAGTTTGGAATCCGTGTAAAAACATCAACGAAACATCGTACGGTTATATCCTGTTCTCTAAAAAATCATCATTTAGATATGAACATTGTATTCGAAGCAATGACGTCAAATGCTAGGTGTAATGAGTACATATTTCGAGTGGAGAAACAAGTGACATTTACAGTGAAAAGCCGCAGCGATCCATTGAGCCTGCATGCTTGCTGCAGACGGCTCCAGGTGTGTGGAGGACACTGCGGGAAGGTCCATTCCTGCTGAGCACCTGCGTAGCCACGTAACCTTGACCTTCGTAGTAAGCCACTTCAGACACAGGCACTAAACGCACTTCCGCGGAACGGATCTGACGCACTGAGAGTATGTTTTCGTAAATAGCTTCGTCCTCTAGGTTCTGACCTTCGGGGCAGAGCCGGTAACCGAACTCGCGACTTATCTCGTCGAGGTTAGCGTACTCGGGTCGCTTGCGCATCTCGTCGATGTTCTGGTACTGGGGTTCGTCGCGCACGCGCAAGCCGGCGGGTTGGACGGACGTCGGGTCGACGCGGACGCCGTACTCGGGCGGCCGGCGCACCATGCGCGCAAGTTGTCGGCTGCCGAAACAACCGCGGCACCAGGTGTGCGCGCGCTCGCGGACCGTCTGCGTTTCGGGTTCTGGGGGAGGCGGCTGGGACCACATAGTGAGCGCTCGCCGCAACGGACACATCTTAACCCCCAAAAGGGCGCGCGTCGACTGGCGCGGGCGCGCGGAGCTCGGATGGCGCGCAGTGGAATGCGCCCGCGCCGCCGAAAGAATGCAATCTCGGGCGCATTTCGGAGGTCGATCTCTCCGAAGGGCCGGGGTCCGCGGGCGCTCCCGCCTCCCGGGCCGCGGCCATCTGTCGTAATAAGTTCGTCGAATCGAAACGCACGGCCCGCCGAGGTGTCGGCGCGCGGAGACTTACTAACGGACCATCACTGACCTCATCCCCTCACGCGAAATCATTCACATAATTTCGTGATTTGTATTTTAATCAATTCAATAGATTTTCAATATTTTTAGGGGTTGTCGCACTTGCCGATAAAGACAGCTTAACAAGAATGTCCGATTCTCTAAGGCACGTAAATTGTATGCGCATATTTGGTACCGACAATTCAAATAAATTCTAAAGAATAAAATGGGAAAGCAATTGGGACCAATTGCCAATAGTGATTTAATTCAATCTACACGATAAATTAACGAAACATCCGCAGCTAGCCTACCTGCTTCATTGCTACCATAAAAGCTCACAACAGTTAATGTTCTCAGTAATAGTAAGCAATAAAGTGGCAACCCTAAACGTAACAGTTGTTTAATTATTCGGAATCAGCTTAGGCTCGTTAACTAGGCGGCGATAAACAATCGTAATCGCAGCAATCCAAGGATGACCGCGGCGACAACAGCGCTGCGGAATGCAAAAAAGCCGAGCAATTTCACATGTGACACTGGCCATGTAGCGGTCACGCGCCTGCAGTACTTAGCGCGCGATTTTCTCAGATTTTCCACGTAATCAATTTACATGGTTTAATGGCGGTATGCGAGGGGCAGGGGAGCGGGGGCTCAGGGCGCATCTGCCGGCTGCAGGTAGACGCGCACATTTTTGTTCCGGAATTCCTTTACACGCATTTGCAATCCCGTCCCGACTCCGAGCCTTCGTATTGACCTGAGCCTCGGAAGTGAGAAAAAAATTAAAAGCAAGTGAATTCACGTAAAGTGTTTTTCGATCGATGCCTTAGCAGCGGAGTTATTCTCACGCTAGTACGATGGAATACCTTGCATTTTTTCTATCTAACTAACCGCATAATTCTAAAGCCACACATGTGCGCGCATGTTTGATTTTTCAATAGACACGCGAACACGTTGTTCTGCAATGTGATTTTATGTAAAATACATTATGAATATCATAGCATGAATTGAATACAATGCAAATATTTAAAAATGTTCTTCCATAAATGTATTCTTGCTGTGGTCTTTTGTTTGGGAGCCATTAAAATTCAATGTTATAGAGTATTAGCTTGGGATAAGTATAACGCTCTCTCGGCCTGCTACAATATAGACAATTTAATTCATAAAACTCAACGTTAACGAGTTGATGGTGTACAGACAGGTAATTTGGCACGGTGCCAACATTCCTCCGTGCGGTATGTACCTACGACTAATAGCACCATGTGTTTTTTGCTAACAAATACCGGTAAAATTTCAGGTAATGACGAAAATAACACGGATAATGTATCTACAATAACTGGTTTTTATACTGAAGTCGAATTTCATACGAATTTCGTTTTATACCACAAGATTCAAGAGCACGAAATTAGAATGAGTCAACAAATTAGGTGTAATTATGATAGAAAGGAATCTAGACCTGAATTCTTTTTACTGTACATTACTAAAGAAATATTCCAATAATTCTATAATTATCTTAACTTGGTTGCTGGAATTTAGTTGCTAGATAATGCTTTCTCTGAACGCATTAAACTACATTCCAAGTTTGGGAATAGGGTAGATGCCTAATTTTTATTTTAATGTCCGTCTGGTAGATTATTTTAATAATTAGAAACGTATTTTTTATTTTCTTACAGAAGCGAATACTTTCGACGATAAATTGATTTGAAATTTCACGTGACGTCACTTCTATGTACATTTTATACGTAGAAATGACATTTTAGCCCCCACTCCTAAACTTTGACTCCTTGTATCTAAGTATTGTTTTATTATACGACAAAATAAAAAAAAATACGCGTCTAATATTTTTTCTTTACCAACTAGATTAGATTTTTAATTTTCATACCCTGTCATCATCCGAATTAATATCATATCTTTTTTGTAAGAAATACCTTAAAATAAGGCCGATTTTTGCCATATTATGATGAGATGTCACACAACGAATGGAATACATAAACAATCTAGGTAGTTTTAAGTTAAAACTGATATGTATATACTAATAAAGTACATACTATTACGAACTGTATACAAGTAATACCACACCACGTACAAACTGATATTATAAAAACAGTAATTAATTTCATCGTGGCTCAGTTCTCAGTAATGCTACACATAAGAACAGTCCTTTCAAACCCTTCACCATACTACAGCCACTATCCCTGGCAGGTTGCTCCCCATCAGAACCTTCTATGTAAGCTGTAGAGTGAGTATCAAAACAAAATCTTTTAGCATGGAATCTAGTACCTAGACTATAACTTACCCAACCCTGCACCTGACGTATGTATGAGATAAACCCCTCATACATGGGCATCGTGAGGTAATTTTATTTCCCATGCGAAACTCAGAATCTGGATAAAGGTTTAACAGGAATTGTTTTTAATAATTATTTTCTTATTGTTGGAATCTGTAAGTTTGCCGTGGGGGTTTCTAGTGAGAGCATCTGCCTACCCTGGACCGGTTGCTTTTCGACTCACTCTACAGTACTTGCATCTCTCTCTTTCTTATACATTTTTACTTATATAGCTGGCTCGGTCACACCTGCAGCCTACGGAACTAATTTTACGTCTTTTTCTTTTCGTTGCCTATCTGCTGTAAACGACTAAAACATTCGAGTTTTCTTTCCCTCTCAAAATATCTATTTATTAATTTAATAACGTGAGGTGTTACACATGAAACAATAAATCAAGAAGATGGAAAATTATTTCCTTATTTTTTGCCCACAACCACTTCACATATTAACTCATTTCAATTCTAAAGCATGCTCATCAAAATATTATTCGGATTAACATCGTGGAACAATACGGAACATTTTTTTTGAATTTAGCATTAAATAAAAAAATGGACGTTCACGAAACAAATGAATCCGAAGGTCTTGCTAGATACTGGCTGTCTATATCCAAAATTCACGTTGGTCGGGGCTCGGAGTTTTGTTTTTATTACTTTCGGATAGCGAGCGGAGGCCGGAGACTTGGATACGATTAAAATTCCTGAGATGCCTCACGCCTGCCTTCCCTTCGGCGTTGCGATGACCATAGACCGGACAAGCCGTGTAACTTTCCTACGCTATTGTTGCTTGGTACTAACAAATTGCTGATTTTCTGATAAATATGTACCTTTTTATAAAACAAGGTAAGAAACCAGGTGTCCGAGACAATGTTGTTTACGTTGAAAATAATGTGGTTATATCGAGAGAATAGTTGCGATTATACATTATAATATATTATATAAACATTTATAATTATAATAAAATGTCCATAAGGTTATTGTATTATGTATATTAACATTTTTTTAACAGATGTGCGGATTAGAATGAAAAATTATGTGAATAATATATAAATGTGGCCATGTCTTTGCGTTTCGAAGGCTGAGATGCCACGGGCCCCTCCGAGAGCAATCTCCTGCAAGAAGCAAGCCCACGGGCATGCACCGACATTACCATATTACAGAAATTATTACCATTACAACATAATAAGACGCTGTCGCGACGCGACCGACACGACTACGAAAACTCATTGTTTTATATCTAATGAAAATCTATTAATAAAAACGTCAATAAATTATTAATAAATATACATATATGAATAACCGAAATAAAAATTGCATTATGTATTTTATAGGGACACATAAATGCCTATTAAGAAGAAAACAGAAATAGAATTATTAATTTCATAAGTCATTAATTGGCACATCAAATAAGAATGTATTTACGCAAATATTGTCCTTGTTTTAAGTAAATAAACATGTTTATTATTAAAATAAAATATATAATAGGTTTATGCTTGGAATAAAAGCAGAAACAAGCTTGTAAGTGACATATAAAAACTACAAAAAGTGAAATAAGTGTTTGTGAAGGGGAAAAATAGGAAAATTTAGGTGAAAAAATGTCATATACGTCCCACTAAGGCAATTTCTATGTAAGAAGAAGCCTTGTAGAGAGGACACACATGTTACTGTTGCATGTTCTTAGAAGACAGTAGCTACATAGCGCACTGACTGTGGAACCATGCCAGAATCGAACCCACGACCACTCACACTAAAGTCGAAGCCTTAACCGCACCGCTATCTGTGCTATTACTAAGTCAACGAAAATTACCCATACATTCAACAAATTATTATAATGAAAGAAAATAAATTACTTTACTATGAATACATTACTTTTTAATAAGGTATTCAGCTCTCGAATTACCAAACAACTGTACTAAAGTCTAATAACCTACTTTAGTATCATAACAATTCAATAAATGAGTTTTATTATCGTAAGTGTCAAATGTCGGATAACACAGGAATTTTAATTGACAATTCCCCGTAAATGTTATTAAAACGGACACCATAAAATTCACGAGGAAAATAAAAATACAAAAACGACTGAAGTTGTAAGAGCTGAACAAAAAACGACATGTTACTATCAATACAAGAAAAAATATCAAGGACATGCATTCACACGAGTACGAGTTTAATCTCATCCATCATACATACGGACATACATACAAAGAGAAGAATGTACCGAATATTCATATTAATAAACTCGAGTCGAATGCGGTCTAGCGTTATACACGATTATCCTTCCAGGGGGAAAAGAAAAAACGATGGTAAAAAAATAATATGACAGAAGGCGGTGGAGGGGCGGGCGAGGTGCGCGGGCGCACGAAACACGCGGTTTGACGTATTCGTTTTTTACGCTCATATTCTTATTATTGGGTCCAACCGCTCCCGGTGTTACGGGCGTGGAATGCGCCATAGATTCACTCGCGCGCAGACGCGGCAGCTTTTATTTACAGCTGGATTTTATTTAGTTTACTTTAAAAGGTATAATTACTGAAATAGGATTATTAACGTCATACAATGTCACTGCGTAAAGAATTCTTACAAATGATTTGTACAAGGCGTAGCAAATCGATTACGCATTTCTTAGAAACAGTAAAAATATTAAACAAATGTTATCTAACATAATTTAACTGGCCTACATTTCAAGAAACATTAGGCAAACTGGTAATTGTAAAATAGAA